GTCCACACACGGATGTAAATGGTAATATTGTAACAATTTTCTTTAATCGATGTTTAAATAACAGCAGGTAAGGCATCGGCTTCAGCAGTTTTGTTGTTCTTTAAGTGGACAATTATAATTCGAACTTTTGCATAGTAGGGAAGTGGAATGTCTTATTGATCATCATCAATTGGGGTTTCGGCTCACCCTTCTTGGGTATTGCAAGGAAATTTGCTCTCCATATATTTATGGACATTAGTCACCAGATTTCCACAATAATTTCAACGTAAGTATGCTTTGGTCTTGGAACCTGCGGTTGGTCGCAGCATCTTTTCATAGAATACTTACACACTTCATCTTCGTTCTTTATTCCGTCTGCAAATGCATCCTGCTACCTTCTTCAATTCCCGGTAACAATCCCACCTCGCACATATTGTGATCTATCGCAAAGTTGCGGGTAGGCAGTCTTTTTCTCTCCACTGCGGTTCGACATTCTTTATCGCACCATCTGCTTTTCTGACACTGCGAAAATGAATTGGTTCCGTAGCTGCGGTACATCGTGGCGGAGGTAGCGCTTATAGGTGCTCGTAGAAATCGTCATTGGTCACACCATCCCTCTCTTTCGTAAGAGCATGGATGAAACACAGCGTGAGTTTTAATTTTTCTATGAACACCGCTACCGCTATACACAATGGATAATTTTATAATTGTCTATAATTACCATTTATTCTCCTCCCCACAGTTCACTCTCCTTTGTGTATCTGCGAAAATACCTACAATAATATTTGGCAAAAGTGTTTGGTTCCCTTTCGTTTATCGCTATAATTCGCAGTTGGTCATTTTTCCTCACACGGTTATCGACCCAAGTCTGATGGTATCGATTTCTATCTCTTATTTTCATCTGTCATTCATACTTGGGTATTTTCTTCACAATATTGACAGATAAGGAGCTTCGAATAGAAAAAAGCATTCGAGAATTTTAAAATCGATTTTAATTTCACTCACCACTATTTGGATAGACTAAGTGTAAGAACTTCTAGCTACACTGTCACCTCAACTTTTTCTAATTACAATATATCCAGTGGCTGCTGGTCAAGCGAATACTAACAACCACACACGTCAACAAAATAAAATACCGCACAAAGAGGAGATGACAAAAACTAACAAAGCGACCGGCCATCTTAGTGAAAACGGCGTGGGTCGCTAGCTATGTACAATAACAAAACTATTCGCCAAGGAAGAGAAACAACACCAAGTGGATCTTAGTAACGCCGATATAAATAAAAAACAAAACAGAGTACACCTCTATGTATATATTAAAATAAACAAAATATTCTTTTTGGGTGCACCCGAGGTGTGGTCCAACCAAACTTGTTACGAACCCACTCACACTACTCTCATGCTGCCGGGGGTAACTTTAACCCGCCTGTATGACTGGGCTCTGGGTGCGGTATGCTAGAGGGATGGGTAAGGACATAACGAGGGTGGTGACACTGTCGGCGCGACAAAACGTTCGCAAACAATAAATACACAAAAATATATTTATCGGTTTCTCGGTCGGGTGTGCGTCCCGACTTTGGTGCTCCTCTGGTGGTGCTCCTCCGGTGATGCTGTCCAAGCTCTGATCCCGCCACAGAAATCCACAAAACCTATTTTCTCTGTTTCACACACTAGGCTTTAACTGCCCTTACACTACCCTTTGCCTCACCTGACAGAACACTATTTATTTATTTTTTATTTTTTTCTCTAAAAATGCTCGTCTGCGCAAAAAGGATGTATCCGCTTTTGAAAATTGAAAACTAAATCTGATCCAGCACGCGCTTACGAGCCAGGCCTCAAGCTACGTGTAGGTTTTTCTGCGAGTGCGTTGCCCAATCATTTAGCGCCGCCCCCATTACCCAAGGGGATCGGGTTGAATAGCGCACGCCACCATGGCACACCAAGTACACTGGGATAGTTTTCTCCTGGCCGCGTTAAAGAAAAAGGCTACACCCCTTTTTACGAAATACCCGCGCAATGCATTCCGTTGCCCTAATATTTGTTAGTGGAGAACCCGCTTTGGGGTACACCTCCTTTTGGAGACTTATACCACTAAGTAGGCACACACCGAATGCAACCGTGCCATCAATCCAAGGAAGCTTAGATAAAACAAAGGAAAAGAACAAACAAACACAAAAGATATTTTCGTTGCGGCCAGTACGCGACAACACTTTTCGTAGCATTTCGGTGTTTTCTCAAAAAATTTTGCCCAGTTTTTCTACATCACTTAATTGTATTCAGCCAGTAAACTTTTGAATTGCCCACTAGCACATCTATTAGTTTAATACATAATGAAATGTGCAAAACTATTCGAAAAACTAACTATATTCTCTATCTATTTACATATCAAAGCGAAATTATTTAACATATCCTTGATTTGGGCCTACGTCCCTATGGAAGACAAGGACGATGTGACCATGGTTGTCTTTTATGAGCGCCACGATGTCAAAATTGTGCTTAGCGACTTTAATACCAGGGCGGGCAAAGAAGGTATCTTTGGTACAACTGTTGGACAATTCAGCCTTCACAATGAAACATCCCCTAATCGATTGAGGCTAATCGACTTCGCCGGGCCCGAAATATGGTTGTCTGTAGCACTAGATTCCAGCACAAAAAAGTACACCAAGCCACTAACGTCGAAAAGCTGCAATCACAATAGTCTGCGGAGCGATTTTCTACTCGGCTTGCACACTTGCTTTCTGAAAGCACTCATCAGCACCTTGAAATAAGGGAACAGTGGAACGGCATCTCAACTCACTGCAATCTACCGCCACGGAACAAATTGGTTTTCGGCAGTACCACAAAATAGCTGGTACGATGAGGCATGTCGAACTGCAGTGGAGAGAAAATAGATTGCCTACCTCCCAACCTTACAATCGACCACAAAACGTGCGGGGTGGGATAGATACCGAGAGATGAAGAGGGCAGCAAGACTCATTTGCCGACAAAAAAGGAAGGAGGCTGAAATGCGTGTGTACGAAGAGCTTGAGAAGCTGACCGACAAGGGTAACGCCCGAAAATTTTAAAAGAAGTTACGGCGACTTTAGGAAAGTTTCAAGACCGGAGCAAACTCTGGTAGGACCCAGAGGGGTGATTTGGTGACGGATGCCCAGAGTATACTGTATTTTCGGAAGCAAAACTTCTCCATCCTGCTGAACGGCAGTGAAAATGAAGATGAGCTTTCTTAAACTTGCGTATAAGATCTTATCGAGCGTTTTGTGTGAAAGACTGAAATCCACCGTCATTTAGTTACTTGGTCTCCTAACGGTTTGGATTCGATTTTCTCATCTGGCTTTCAATAGTGGGTTATAAAGACACACTTAATCCTTGCTGGTGTTGTTTCGTGCACTGCGAACCGATGTTCCGTCAGAAACAGATATCCCAATCATCCGGATGTTTTTGCGCGACCTCCTCAATAGCTGTTCCAGTGTTCGGCTGAAACGTTCCACCATACTATCTGATTGGGCTTACAGAGCTGTCGTTTGGGTATTCTGAATACCCAGTATCTGGCACAACTACTGAAATACCTCTAATTCGACATTCCTTCTTTTGTCGGCGCTTTTGCGACAATACACTTTCCCAGTTCTTTGCGCGTCTAATTGACGGCAACCAATCCAATAGAACTGGTGTCCACCGGTGTCAAATCGCACGATCACGATGTCCAATAAACATCGTCAAGACGAGAAATTACGCGGTCGGGAAGTTTCTCTCGCAGTAAAGCAGTATTCGTGCGGTTATCATACGGCATTAATTCTCCGAGCGCTCGCAAGTTGTCGTTTACAAAGTAAGGTCTAAACAAACCTAAAAAGAGGCAGGAAGCTTTTAAGGAGTAAGGAGTTCTTTTTAATAATTTAAGTATTCTCGAAGTCTCAAAAGCAACAGTTTTGTTTATTTATACATCCCGCGAGTAAGAAAAGTATCTCGTCACTTAAGATAATCTTGTTCAGTTGAAATAGATGTAGGTGTGCAAGTGCGAAATACGCCATAATGTGCCGGAAGAAAGCCAGCTCCTAAGATATTCCAAAAAAAACACTCGTTTGGGTAGCTTATATATATGTATTTATATATATATATAATTTGCGCTTTTTAACCGCTGAGCTCCTTTTCCAAATTCTGGTGTTAGCGTCTTGATGTTTTTCTAACAAATGGAAGAACTTAAAGTTTATACTGATACTGTTTGAGGTGGAACGAGAAAAACGATTATGCAGATCCATTCTATTCAAATTTGCTTAAAATTTTAGCAACTGTTTGATTAGTTGGACGAACACGCGCACCGAAATTTCCTTTTACACGATACAGTCGTTTTAGCGACATATTTCTTTTCAAAGATTTTGATTGTCAGTCGGGCAATTCAAGATATATAATTTTGTGCTAATCTAGTGCTGGTGAGTATAAGGGTAGTGGAGGTGGAGGTTGAACGATTTTCCTATATTTAAATCAACGTTGTTTTAACTCCACTTGGTTGGTTTTTTTCCTTTCAGCGTTGTTACTTTAACTATATAGCAACCCACGCCACTAAGCTGACCGACCGGTCGCTTTGTTTGATTTTTTTGTGGTTATTCGTTTCGTAGTTGACGTGTTTGATTGTTGGTAGGCTTTGACCATGTAAATATAATATGCGTATATATATTGTTTTGTCAAGAGCTTTTTCTTGGTGACATTAATTAACAATAATTTTGTGGGGGTGTGTATTCGTATAATAACGCACTGTTATAAAAACGAGACCTGATATGCTTTGGTTGAGCGACAATAGTATTATAAATTTATTTCGGTAATTCCAATTACGTACAAGCATGAATTTTAACAAAAGTAAGAGAGAGTACAAGTACTTAGATGTGTGTATATGTTCGAAAGTGAGAATTGATTATCTTAGTTAAGTATTATCTAGTTTTCCGCTAATCTACAGTGCCGATCACGATTGTTCGCACACAGTGGTTCGTAATTGTGATCCAACATCCCGGCCTCGTTGAAAGTATCCGCTTTCAAGATACTGGCAGGACGGCAATCTTATGAATAGGGCGGCAGCAAGTACCATTGGCTGTGCGGAGGTGCATAACTCGCACATGGCCATCTCGTCCGGGTACGGTGGACTCTACACGGCCAAACTTCCAACGTTGTGGTGGCAAATTATCGTCGTGTATTATGACAAGTGTCCCTTCTTTGATATCAATTGCAGGAGTTGTCCACTTAACACGTGAGCGTAGTTCGTTAACGTACTCTGCCTGCCATCGGCGCCAAATGCGTTGTTGGATGGCAGTGATCATATCGTACCGATCTGTGTTTGACATATTTCTGTTTTCGAATGATTGTTCGGGTAAAGCGCGTAGAGAAGAGCCAACCAAAAAGTGTGCGGGAGTGAGTGCATCGATGTCATTCGGATCTGATGACATGGGGCTAAGTGGTCGCGAGTTGAGGATAGCTTCCACTTCGACGGCAACAGTACTAAGCTCTTCGAATGTCAATCTTGTATTCGCTAATGTTCGATTCAATAGTCCTTTTGCGCTTTTGACTGCAGCTTCCCAGAGGCCGCCAAAGTGAGGAGCCCTGGGAGGAATAAAGTGAAGGTTAATAAATTCAGATGAACAAAATTTATATATTTTTTGCTTTGAAAATATATTGTTTTAGTTCTTTCAATTGGTTGGACTCTCCAACAAAATTTTTAGCGTTGTCGCAAAAGATGTTACAAGGGAGTTTTCTGCGACCACCCATCCGCTTTAGAGCATTTAAGAATGAATGCGTTGAGAGATCGGATACAACCTCAATATGTACTGCCTTGGTGACGAGGCAAACAAACACAGCCAAGTAGGATTTTGTGGGAGCTCTACCTCGAATCCGCAAGTAGGTATTTATCGGTCCGCAGAAGTCTACTCCACAGCGCTCAAATGGGCGAGCGGGAGTGATACGGGTGGCCGGAAGTGGTCCCATGACTTGTTGAGCCAGGACTGGTTTATATCGTACGCAATGTACGCAAGACTGAACAACACGACGTGTCAAATCTCTGGCGTTGACAATCCAATATTCCAGTCGGATCAGGGCAACCAATGCTTTAGGACCAGCGTGATAATTCCGTCTATGTAGATATCGAACGTAATTGAGCACAAATTGCGAAGTGCTAGGCAGTAAAATGGGGTGTTTTTGAGCGTCTGGCAAATCTGCGTAGTCTAAGCGACCTCCAACTTTGATGAGTTCGAATCCGGTAGTCTTATATATGAATGGAGTTAGGTGCTTGAAATTGCTTTTTACTGATCCATTTTTTTTGAGTAATTGAAAATCGAGAGAAAAGTGCTGTTGCTGTATATTCCAAATAACACAATGTAGTGCGCGTCGCAGTTCGTCGGGCGAGAAAACAGTAATGGGTGTGGATTTCTTTCTGCACCAGCAGCAGAAACGAAATAACCATGCAACGAAACGTAAGCACTGGGTATATGAACTGCTCCTATTTGTGATATCGAGAACATAGTTTGTGTCCTTGATGATTGTTAAGGCCGTTTTGCGTTCCTCAGCATTGATTACGTCATTGTTAAGATCAGTTGGAGCCTTGCTCTTTGGCCATTTCTTCTCCTCTTGTAGCAGAAAGGCTGGACCGGTAAACCAATTGGACGAAATCAGGTCTTGCGTGGAACAACCCCGGGAGACCAGGTCCGCTGGGTTGTCTCTCGTTGGCACATGCTTCCAATGCGCACCTTCTGTAAGCGCTTGTATCTCCGATACTCTATTTCCGACAAATGTTGATAGCGTAATCGAGTGTTGTAGAAGCCAATGCAAGACTAGTTGTGAGTCGGTCCAAAAGTAAGTGGTAACTGATCCGGTCGCGAATATGTCTTTTATTTTAGCATAGAGACAAGCGAGAAGATGAGCACCGCAAAGTTCAAGTTTGGGAAGGGACTGCTTCTTTACTGGTGCGACTCTGGACTTTGATGTTAGTAAATGTACGTCGACTTGACCATGCGAGTTCTGCGTACGAACATAAACTGAACAACCGTAGGCTCGTATTGATGCATCGCAAAATCCATGAATTTGTATATTGTGTGTATCAGGTTGCAAGTAATAGCGAGGTACGGTGAGTGACGAGACCGATTTCAAGGTTGCTAAGCAGTTGGTCCAAGCTTGATGTATGTATTAAGGTACGGACTCATCCCAATCGAGCTTTAATAGCCAAAGTTCTTGCAAGATAATTTTGGTTGTTATTAGCAGTGGTGATAACAAAGCAAGTGGATCAAAGAGGGATGAGGCGATCGACAATATTATCCTCTTTGTAGTCATATTGTGTTCTTTTTCTGGAATGAGAATGAAAAATTGTCAGAACGTTAATGCCACGTTACCCCTAACGTACTGGTTACAAATTCATCACAAATGTTGAGGTTCTTTACTGATTGATTTTCCATGAACTCGGGGTGGTTTGAGTGCCATTTTGATAATGGAAATTGTCCGCGTCGAAGTACTTCGATGACTTCGGATTTGAGTATATGCAAAGCGTCAACATCATCTGCACCACATATAAAGTCATGAACGTAAAATGAGTTCTTTACTGCTAAAGCGCCAATCGGAAGCTCATCCATGCTTTGATCTGCCAAATAATGAAGACTACGTACTGCGAGGTATGGTGCTGAAGCAGTGCCGTAAGTGACCGTGTTAAGCTGATATGTCTGGAGATCTAAGTCAGGAGAAGCTCTCAAGAGAATGTATTGGTATTTGCAATCATTGTTATTCATGAGTACTTGCCTGTACATCTTGGTGACGTCTGCAGTGAGGGCGAAACGATATAAGCGAAAGCGAAGTAAAAGCATATATAAATCTTGTTGGATGGTAGGGCCAACCAACAGAATATCATTCAATGATGATTGTGAGGATGTGCGACACGATGCGTCAAAAACGACTCTCAGGTATATAGTAATGCGGCTCATTCAAGTTTGGTTGAGCTACAACGGACATGTGGCCAAGATTTTCGTACTCCTCCATGAATGAGATGTATTGGGGACGAATTTCGGGCGAGTGTAGGAGTCGTTTCTCGAGTGCGAGAAATCGTCGACGAGCGATATCGAAGGAATCTCCAAGGCAAATGGGATTTTCCTTGAATGGTANTTCTAGTAATTTCACTTAATATTTTTTTTTAATTGTGTTTGCTATTTGCTATTTGCTTGCTTGCTATTTTGTCTTGTCTTGTTTTTTTTTTCACATAATTTATTTGGCTTTTCGCATATTATTTTAATAAATTTATTTTAATATTTTTTTTTCATATCAGTAGGCTTGCTATTACATATTACATCCAATATCCGCTGCCAACATTTTTTTTTTTATACATATATTTATGTAATATGTTGCTCATTCGAGATTATTGCACACTACTTTTTTTTTTGTACTTCCCAAACCAAAGGAAATCAGCCAAATTCAATCTTAAACCAATAAGATTTTTTTTTGAGTTGGAACAAAAAACAAGCTACAGGAGCATGTTTTATCGATTTAGAAAGATTTTTTTTTAAAAGTTTGGATTAAAGAATTATTCGCAAAAGTGTTAAGTTACGATTTCCACTTTTTTTTTCTTGTTCTCATTGTGAATATGGTACCAAATAAAAAGTTTCGAGTCAATATTGTTTTTTTTTTCAGCAGCCGTGATTTTAATGTTATAAATGGCCTCCAACAGGAAGAAGAATATTTTTTTTTTGTACTTCTCTTTACAGAACATCATGTTGCAACTGCTTAAAATTTACATCAATTTTTTTTTTATACTCCAGCGTATTACCAGCTGCCTGGAAGAAGAAACCAACATATTCATATTTTTTTTTTTTTATTGTGATGATAGGTATGCTGAAACGGCAATAAACATTGGTTTTATTCTTTTTTTTTTATTTTTATACCTAGATAGACACAAATTCATTCAAAATAATAAAGGTGTGCCTTTTTTTTTTCATATATATAGAAGAGCGAACCAAAAAATTCGAATTTTACAGATGTAAAGATTTTTTTTTGTGGTTATCACTATAACACCTTAACCCTTCTTTCCCCACCTTCCTATTCTCCTTTTTTTTTAATTTATTTTATTTTCTGTATATAGTTTAGATTTAAGTTAATAAGCAATACTTTTTTTTTTGTATTTTTTACTGCAAACTCATGTACATATAAATAATTTCAAATGTAATTAAATTTAGTTCAGCATTCTTAAAAGGAACATCACATTACATTAACGTTCTTGAGAGCTCGACTAGAGACCTTGAAACATTGAACTACTTTATATTAAAACGTTTTGTTTATTTATGTGACTTATTTTTTTTTTAATAATAAAATTAAAAAAAAAAAAAATCTTTTTACATATCAATTGGCACTTTTTTTTTTTTTTTCGGCTCAAAAACAGTACGAAAATGGGTAAACGTAAACACATACAAAAATATGTAGCTATGCACTTACCTCAAAACAAAGAGTTCATTTCTATGTTTGTAGACATATAACTTTTTTTTTTTTATTGGCAGCGTTTTCACGTCATACCATAAAATCTATCCACTACTAAAGCATTTTTTTTTGTGATTTCTCTCTACAGATGAGGTCTGCTCGCAGGCATACAGTTACATATTATATTGTTGGTTCTCCTACCGCCCATTTGCTTATGTCTTATTGTAATAGCTAAAATGGAGCGTTCGGCGTTGCGTTTTCTGAAGCCAATGAGTTGCAATGCGCGCTATCCCAAAATAAGAGCGCTGAAGTTTTGGCATTTTCTCCTTCTCTTCAATTTCGCATCATTTTAGAACATTTAATAAAATAATTGCATTTTTTCATTTCGTTAAACTATGTATGAGTTCTGTAGGAACATAAGTAGGCAATTTACAAATCGCAATCCAATTTTATTTTTGAATAATATTTTATTCAATCTTTGCTTTATGGAAACTAACAATAATTTCGAAAATCTTAAAGCTAATTCTTATTCTTGGAACAAGTTATTCTCTACCAGTGTATAGATTAACAAAGTCAGCAAAGCACAATTAATTAGGAATATAACTTAGATTTCTCTAAGAATCTGTTTATATAGGTATCATTAGGGATACCAAACACTCACGTTTAAAATTTAAGAAATGATATATCATAAAGGATAATTTAAAGTTACTATTATAAGTGCATGCGGAAAGCCCTTATTCACAGTTCAAACGTAAGTCTTTTCTCTTTAATCGCTTAGGGTAGTTCTGCAGTAATAATTTTTTAGCTAGAAAGTTTGGGTGATAGATAACCTTAATGAGTAATTTTTAAGCAGTTTTCTATATTTCCTAGGTGACGGTTTTAATCCCGAGATCGTTATGAATTGTACAGTTTTTTTTTTTTTTTAGGTGTAACCACTCTTCTAATACTTTCAAATGATCTCGTAATCTGTAACTGGCTGTCATAAGGTTTGGATGGACACTAAGTATTGCAGTATCTTCCGCAAAAATTGATGTGATTTTTTTTTTGTTTGTAGGAAGATCGTTCGTATACATTAAATATAAGACGGGCCCTAAAGCACTTCCTTGTGGAGCACCAGCAAAAATTTCATAGGGCTTAGTGGTGTAACTTTTTTGTCTGATTTTTTTTTTTCTGCCACTACACTTGCGTAATAGACCATCTAAGCAAACTGTATCAAATGATTTTTTTTTATCGAGGGACACTACAGTACAATATGGCTTGTATTCAAATTCTGATCTTATGTGTCCTACAATTCTATTAACCTGCTCTATTGGGCTGTGTTTTTCTCTAGAGCCGAATTGGTGGCATGGTATGGTCTGTTTCGATTCTAAAATCGGTAATATTTTTTTAAATAAAAGTTTTTCGAAGATTTTTGAGAATACCGTAATTAAGCCTATAGGAGCCCACCAAAAATGTATCTTTACCTTTTTTTTTAATCATAATAATCACCGAAAGCTTTTAGGATTTGGGAAAATAGTATAGTCTCTTTTTTTTTTTAAATGTACAAAGCAGATGTTTGACTGCCACAATTGGAAGATCTTTTGTCATATCACCCGTTATCGTGTCGTCTCCGGGAGCCTTCTTTTTATTTATGTCGTTAGAAATAATTTCTTTAAGTGATTTAAAATTAAATTGAATAAAATTTTCATCTGGATCGGCACGAAATTCTGTAAGAGATTTGTATCCAATATTTGGTTTAAATACAGTGGAAAGATGCATGGCAAATGTGATACCCTTTTCATCGTCGCTTCGAGACTCACCACTGTGAGTTCTCAATGCTGGGACTTTTGGAACTCTTAACTTTTCGCCAAAAAGAGTAGTTAGTATCAGAAGTAGCTGACAGAAATTGTACGGACTTTTGGAATTAATTTTCCTTTTTTTGTTTCAGGACATCCTGAAGCTTTTTTATGCATATATAGTGCTCGTGTTTTAAGGCCGGGGTACGAAACCTTTTCACGAGGTTTTAACAAGATTTTGCGCATGGTGCATTCTCTTCTCTGTTTTTACTGCTAATAAGCCGGCTGAAGAAGTGTTCTTTTTTTTTCTTCGAAATACTTTGGGCATCGGTGGCTACAAAAGTCTGCTCCGATCTTAATTTTTTTTTTAGTTGTCGTATCTTGTCATGTACTTCGGGCTCTTTATTTTTTTGTCTGCAAATTTTTTTTTTTAAGTACGTACTGGGCTTGATCGCAAAGTTGCAAGGTAGGCAGTCTGCTTTTTTTTTTTTGCGATACGGCAGTATTCATCATACCAGCTGTTTTTGCGACCTTTACGAAATCCAATAGCTTCGTTAGCAGCTGTACGTAAAGAGCTTCAAATGCTGTCCCACAGTTTGCTTATTTTTTTTTTCTGATGAGTGCTCTCAGAGAGCAGGAGTGCAAGTCGCATAGACAACCGTTAGGCAGTATGTTATGATTGAAGCTTTTCGACACCAAACTTTCTTTGTTTTTGTTGACGGGCGTTCATCGAAACACAGAGGCGCGCGTATCTTTCGAGTCGATTGTGGGGTCCGCGAAGCATACGTTTTTTTTTAACACTAGATACATGTTCTCCGTGTATCACAACATGGTCGATCTGATTGTGTTTTTTTTTTTCAGGGGACTCGCTATGCTAGTGTAAGAATATTATCTTGGCTTCATATATATATACAATGTATTCTAATGATATTTCAAACTCATATATCTAAGATATAAAAATCTTATGTCCGCTTGGAAAAGTTAACCACCGATTGACTTCAATAGTTTCTATGATTTTCGGAAAGTTTTGCTTTTTTTTTCTATTGGAAGTGAAGCGGGGACTGGCCTATTCGAAAGAACATCTAATGTTCCCTCGGGACGGGTGTTCTCCAAAAAATAAAGGCCGAATGACTTGAAATTTCGTCAGATTATTTTTTTTTTTCTTGGGAAGGGTTTTACGATTAGATTTACAAGAAGGCTGTTCTTTCCTCCAGGAAGTGGACAAGTGTCTAACCTATTCGAAAAAATTGTATTTACCGCTCGATTGACTTGAAATTTTTTTTTTATGATGCTTTTTATTTAGGTTAATAGGAAGACTTCACTCCGGAATGTGGGCTTTTTTTTTACTTATTCGATGAAAGTTTATTTTGGGCTGGATTTACTTAAAACTCGGTAGATTTTTTTTTTTTTGTTTAGATTAACAGGAAGACTAGGACTTCCCTATTCAAAAACGCGGACTTTTTTTTTATCCGGGAAGTGGACCAATGTCAAAAGTAAAACCAAAAATTTGTAGTCGCCCTTTTTTTTTGTAAATAAAGTTACGATAAAAAGATATCCCATTTTTCATCTAT